CATAGGATTGGAGGTCCTGCAAAATACCATACCTCCACGTAGTGTCATAAGCCTTCTCAAGATCAAGGGACGTGGAAAAAAAGATGTTCTCTCTTGAGGAAGGCTTCCCTAATTGATGTTTCATGTCGAATCAGATGGTCCATGGTGGAGCACTGTCAATGGAACCCACAATGGGTGGGCGAGAGGAGCTTGATTGATTTGAGAAATCAAACAAAACGAGCATTAACCATCCTCTCTAAGACCTTACAGAGACAGCTAGTCAAAGTAATGGGATGATAATTACAATGAATCTTGGGATCTTTCCCACGTTTAGAGAAAGGGAGGACATAAGCCTGTCACCAAGCATCAGGAAAAACATGCTCCTGCCAGATCCAGTTAAAAATAACCAGAAAAATAGCAAGAGAGGCAGGAGACAGATGACGAAGCATCTCATAATGAACATCATCAGGTCCAACTGATGTACTGCAAGACTGATGACGAGCAAGTTTGAGTTCTACCAGTGTAAAGGGGCGATTATAGTTGTAGAGACATTTGGCCCAAAAGGAAAGAGGTGATCGCTCTGCCTGAGACCTGATGGCCAAGTAGGCAGGGGAAGAAACAAAGTGCTGGATGCACGAGAAAAGCTGTGGCTGAGAGCACCAGCAATGCTCTGGACATCAGCAACTTTCAGGCCATTGAAGAGCAAGATGGAAAGGGGATGGAAAGATACCTCCCAGTTACTTTCCAAATCTTGTCCCATATGATTTTGGAACTATTGGTAAAAGAGATGGTAGTAGTGAACTTAATCCAAGACTCCTTTTGGCTTTGACGTTGAACCTGCCAATTATGGGCCCACTGATAAATTATGTGGTTAGAAAGAGAGTGATACCGTCAGAAGGTATCCCAGGCCCGTTTATGAGCCTTCCATGACTCCTGGCAGGCAGCACTCCACCATGGACGAGGATACCATGGAAAACGTGTCGGGATCTTAGGAATAAAGTGAGCAGCTGCCTGGATGAAGTCAGTCACTGCTACCACACAGTCATCTATTGATGGCAGACAGACAATGGCAGGATCAAGTTAGTAGAGAGCAGTGAAAGAAGGTTAGTCAGCCTTGTCCAACTTCCACTGTGAAACTCAGGTCGGGTGGTATCAACCATGACCAACCTCCGTCAATATGATAGGAAAATTATCACAGCCTCGTGGATCACTGTCAACCTTCCAAGAAAAGTGAAGGGGAACACATGAAGAGATCCATGGCAGTGAAAACTGATTAGGTGCATGAAAATGAGTATAAGATCCTGTATTGAAGAGAGAAAGGTTGTGATCTGAGAGCATACACTCTACAGAACGACCCCTCCCATCAATATCAGCACCACCCCCAGAAGGGGTTGTGTCCATTAAAGTCTCCCAGGATTAAAAAGGGGCTGATTGATCATAAATCTTACCAGGAGACTGGTAGAGAGAACAAATTGGGATAGTATGACCCATGATCATATGTACGGCAACAGCTTCCAGTGGCAAATTGAGTGGCACAGACATGGTGGGTGCTGGTACATTAGCAGTCCTCTATGGACTCATCAACAGTGATGGTATGACCCAAGGAAACATGGATAGCGACAGCCTCCAAGGGTGTATCGAGTGACACAGATAAGAAGGGCACATGCTGGATGACCAGCAATACCACCCCTCCATGCACTCGTTCATCACACAACCTGTCCGGTACAAATAAAACTGCCAAAAGGTGACTGTATTAGAAGGTTTCAGAAATGTTTCCTGTAAGGAGAGACACACAGGATGATAGGAACCAATTAGGGCCTTAATGTCATCGAGATTAGAACCTCCACAGTTCCACCTTATCAAAGTGACCATTTTTATGTAGGTGGAGGAGAACTGGGTGGAGAATCACAGGGTGTTTACGAACACACCATTTTTGTTTATTAGAAGGAAGTCTATCGACCTCCATGAATCCTGCACTTAATCGAGTGGGCAGATCTCTGTCATCAGACTTAGAATACAGCGACTGAGGATGTGATCAATGATCATCCTACATCTTGAGGCCAAAGAAAAAGGACCTGAGCAGACACCAGGGGACTGGTGCTATTGGAGGTGGACCTAGGCAGTCACTGGAAGGAATGGTGGGGACAGAGATTGGAGTAGACATAGAATGGTCAACTCTGTTATCCATTAAGAGCAGAAGACCCCTCACATGACATGAAAAAAGACTCGGACAGAGGCACGGAAAGGTCCAGTTGCACTCCTACTGTAGCAGTGAATCGGCATATGTCCGAGATGGAGTAGGGAACAATAGCTTCCGAGTCTTGGGGTAAGAAATGTTGTTAACAGTCTTCAAATGCTGTACCTCTTTCTCTTCCATCCACTCAGGGCAAGATCTAAAGTAAGGTGGGTAGGAACCACTACAATTAACACATTGAAGATCCAGTTTGCACTCATAGGTGTCATAGTCCTTGCCACCACAACGTCATGGAAACATGACAAGATGCCTTCAAATGACTGAACTGCTGGTACTGGAAACATCAGAGAGGGTTGGAAATATATGGCCATACCTTACAGTTCAAATAACCTGCTTTGACAGCAGCAGATGGATGTGGCAATGAAAACGTCAAAATGAGAACATTGGTTGGCATCATAATTCCATCTTGACAAGTGGAGATCCTTCAAACTGCTGAGACTCCTTGGCTGGAAAAACCAGCGAGGACTTATGACTTGGGATGTTCTTCAAGTCCCTCTCAACGATGTAGCATGGAGAGTAACCTCAATGAGTATATCCCCAATGGCCTTGGAATTCAGGAGAAGTTCACTGTGTTTAGCTGTGGATGTTTCCACCAAGATGTCTCCAAAACGGAGCTTCTTAACTGACTTTGGAAGAGCCAGCAAGCCCCTCTAATCCCTTCTGTATAAAAAAAGGGAAACATTTGCCCTAAAAATTTATCAGACAGTGATTGCAGGATCAGGAAACAAGGTATAGGTGTACAATTGGTGGAGACTGCTGTTCAGAGTCTTCAAGGTATGGTTGTTTACTAATGAGCAGAGTTTTTCAATTTTTTTTTAGGATTTGGGGGATCCATAATAAAAAGAGGAAGATTCAGTGCCCACTGACCTCACCCACAATGGAGTCCTACGAGGGGATGCACTATAATGTCAAACAAGAACACTGCAACAATGCCAGGGTTTCGTGAGCACTATACCCAAACAACAGCATCAGACACGATGTCCACAACACCCGTTGAGAATGCCCAACACTGGTACTCAGTTGACCCTAGTCCAACAGGACCAGTTGACTAGCCCTGGGGGGCCACCTGTCTACAGGAATTCGAGGCCAAAGTGGTGTGTTGCAGTGCCCCAGACACCATCAACCACCAGGATCCTCTCCTCCTTTTCATGGGTCACCATGCACAGCAAACACGTGGGTGGATGTTTAGATCCCAGAGGAAGTTACTGAAAATACAGAACCTTCCCTGGGAGGTCCTGTCAACATGGACAGGAATCCACTCCTGAGGGGTCATGGAATATGATGCTGTAAACCATCAACATCTGGAACACAATGCTGAAGACTATCAAAATCTGGAACTTGATAATGTAACATTGAGTATTTGAAATATAACACTAAACTTTGCAACATGATGATGTAAACCTTAGAAAGTTGTAGCATAAATGTTAAATTTAGTCAGTTGGAGTATAACACTGTAAATTGCAAAGAGTTGGAACATGTTTCTGAATTTAAAACATTTGGAAAATGATGCTGTTGATTTTGAGCAGCAGGGGCATGTGACAGTAAAATCTAAACCTGGGTGTGGCAAAACAGTTAACATCTAGAGCATGATGACTTTCTTGAGTAGCTGGAACATTACATTTTACATCTTAAACAGCTTTAAACATGATGCTATAAACCTCAAGCAATGAGTTTTGGCATGTAGCTATATGGTACTTCAGTTTATAAACTTAATTAGAAATTGCTTTCCAAGTCTTTAAAATGGCTGGGGGTTCCTATTTTAGCTACAACATGCTGCTGTGTTGTTGGTTACTTCTGATGACAAGCTGTTTAACTTTCTTCACTATCTCCATTGTGTGAATCTTAGCAGTCATGCAGTAGCCATTTTTGTCTTCCTGCTTATAAGCGCTTAACACATAGGGCAGAAGGGGCTCTTTTTGTTGCTGAAAAAGTAAATATTTTTTGTCTCAGTCCTCCAGACACTATTTGTAGGAACTGAGCACAACATGATATTGTGTCCTCTAAACTTGCATTATTTGTGTATTAATAAATACTACTAGTTTTCTCATTCCTTATGTAGTTAACTTGAATTTTTGACATCTCACTTATGCTAGCTGTAATAGTGCTATCATTAGGTTGATAATACAACTGCTATATATAATGTATATGCTGTAGGTTTAGAAAAAAAACAACAGGAAAAGACAACCAAAGCTTCTGATATGAATATCTTCACTTTTTTAAGAAAGACCACACAATTTGATTGAAAAACTAATTTTATTATTTATCTATTTTCTTCCCATGCTACATATTTTTGAAGATCCAGACATCCATTATCAACTTCATAAATATTCAAAACATTCACAGAATTTTTTTTTTTAAGAATAAAAATAACAAACAATTCTGGCTTCAACAGACATTTGTGAATTCTCTACAGAAACAAGGTTAATCATATTATAATAAAATCATAAATAACTCTACTGCTGGAATTTTCTAGCAATGATATGACATTAGCCAAACAAATCCAGTAAATATACAAGCATTAATTTTGGACCTACTTTGCTGATCTTTCAGCTGAAGCAGGAACCAAATAGAATCGTGTTAAGTGTTTGAATTAGTAAAAATATCTAGAATTCATAAATAAAGATAACTTGAATTGAGTTTGCTTATTTAACCAAGAATCATAAATTAGCAAAAGATTTATTTATACACTCCTTACAGTGCAACAGCTTTTATAACTAAAATAGCTATAAAATAAATCATAGAATTATTAGTTTACTTTAATTATAGGGATTTAAAAACAACTGAAAAATTCAGTTGCCAAAATGAAACTTGCCTTTTGGAAACTTTTTAGGTGCACAAAATATAAATTCAGAACAAATACATTACAGATTATAAAGTGCTCGATAAAGAATCAAGCTATAAAACTTCAACATTTGAATAATTTTGCATTTAGTTAGGTTAAAAAATAAAAATAATTTTTACAATAGTTGTTTAGAATATTTTACTATAAAAGATTTTAGTGCTTAATGTAAAGATGCAGAAAAATGCTGTTAAGCAAAGGATTAAAAATTTCATAAATTTGGATTTCAAATTTAATAAAACTTAACATACTGAAAAAAAGGGGGGAATTACATCACAATAACATTTAAAAAACGGTATTTTATTCACAAAATATATTGAAAAATGTTTTTCTATAAAATCTACAGATTGATAGTTTTTACATCCTGCTTAATCTTTACATAACTTGATAACTGCACAAATAACCATGCCAAAAACATACTGCACAAGTTTAGCAAGAAAAACTAAACTGACTGAATTTTCAATCAAAATTTATAAATGTCTGCATTGTTATGTTTCCTATACATGTTCTATTCTCTCTTGAATAAACTCACAAGGTTAGCTAGCACATCACCAAAATGTTTTAAATATACCTAATTGACACATAAGTTTTTCCACATATGTATTGATTTACAATGGCTGTTTGAATTTTAAAGGCCATGCTACACTACTTTACTAATATATCAATTTATATTTTCTCTACAATAAAACACTTTCTGATTGCCATTAAATAGCATTAAAGTACTCAACATCATACAAGAGTAAATATAGTCTTTTTACATTTTTATTAATGATAAATTTACTATGAAGACAGAAAAATTATTCAAAACAAAAGGAAGGAGTAAAAACTTGCAGAAAAAAAAGTCAAGCATCTACATAAAATGGCAAAGATTTGAGCAAAAGTTAGCAATTGGAAAAAAAGTATATTCTATTGTTACCTGGTCTTGAAGAATTCAAAATGATAACACCTTAATACAAAATAACCAAACAGAAGTTTATATGTGTTGCATAATTTTAGAGTAACATTACAATTTATATTCTATATAAAGTAAGCTAAGGTCACTGTGTTTATGGTCTGTTTCTTAAGGCAATATTGTTACCTTTAAAACAACACTACAAAACAAAAGTATCCAACTTCATTGCACTAATGCTTTGAAAACTGTTAAAACTCAAAACAGTCATAGTAAAATTTTAGAAAACATCATTTTTATAATGTAATTTTTGTACTTCGAAAATACTTAAAAATCTAATAATTATCACGCTAATGATAGAAATTTATTATACTTTCATTTTCACACAAAATAGTTTTCTCACAGGACGACTGATATGATAATTGGTCATCAGAAAGAAACTGAAAAAGGAAAAATTATTTAAGTTAGTAGTTTGATAGTCTTTCTTTCAGTATGAAATAAATATAACACTACAAAACATTCTACCATAAAATTGATAACTACTAATACAATGTTAATAACAACTTAATCTTGTTCCAAAAAATTAACTTGGTCCTCATTGCAATATATTACCAACAGATACATTTGTAAGTCCATAAGAGAATAAACTGTATTTTCTATAATATTATTTACATTACATTCAAATGGGAAAAAATACTCGAGAGCTTTTGGAATCGTTAACTATTCGAAAGCAATCGAGTTTTGGGTCTTATTTTAAGTCTATTACACTTTATATGTGATCTTTTGTGCTAACTTTTTTATCAAAAAAGTATATATATATAGAATATTTTGATGGATCTGGAATTAGACAGATCACTTTTATTCTCTTGGCACAATGTAATCTTAAAATTCCAATTGAGGATTTATAGAATTTGAGAATTTTAAAATACTTTTT